TATATGAAGCATTAGGCTCTATTTTTAAGATGCCCTTGATGAAATAGAGAGAAGGCATACAGATATATATATGTGTGTGTGCATATTTCATAAACAAACACATAAAAGCAAATTTAAAAATAAACAAACTGTTGCCTTGCTTTGTTTCACAGAAAAGACCATAAACAAAACATGTATGAGTTTAAAACTAGTAAGATCTTGGCCTGTATGTTTAGAACATCCAAGTATTAGGGGGATACAGGCGATGCACTTGACAGTTCTCAAAGTAGTTCTGTACACTGTTAACAAGTCTATGAAATGGAAGAAAAAAAACTTCAAGCAACAACATTCCTGACAACATTTCTCAAAATGAGTTTACAGAGACTGGCATAAAGCACCCAAAATAATACAAAGAAAACATCAGGAAAAAAGGAAGTGTGACAGAGAAGAGAATCTAAGGAAGAGTTTTAACTGGGGAAGCCAACTTCACTGAAAACGACCTGAAGAAACAGAGTTAACAGGTAAAGAATTTACTATATCACAACACATTAAACACGTGGTAGGAGAAAGCACAAGAGATAGCAGATGGCTTCATAACCACAGAAATCACTAATCCAGGACTTAAAACTTACGCAACCACTTCAGGAAAAGCAGCATTTTCTTCTTCCAGCTGCAGCTCTTTTGCCAGCTGTTCACTCATTACATCAGCAAAGGAACATGATATTGATGCTGTGTTAGGGGCTCCCCACGGACACTGTGAACGAACAAACATTTTCTTCAAGTAAGCAAGAAGTGCAGTGGCGACACAGTAATCAGGATAATTAGCTATCACTGGCTCTAAAATAAGCTCATGTAATCTTATAAGAGCTTGCCTGCTACAGGTACTTAGGGAAGTATGATTAACTAAACTATGTAAAATTCCTGAAAGAATAGTTTCATAAACTCAAGAAGGAGAACTGTGATTGAAAGCATGTTCATGGTCACTTACTAATGGGGGGAGGGAGTCGGTAAGCAAGAACCCTTTGAAGACAGTGGCAAAGTCTTTGCATAAAGTTTGCTTACAGAGTCTATATAGAACCTCTCCTGGAATACCACAACAGTAATGGCTCATGCACGGCGTCCTCCTCCGTTTCTGGAGCACTGAAAGGACAGCCATCATTAACATCACCTCAAAATCGCAGAGGCATGCACACAACTTTGCTTGGAGAGGCGGGGGTTGACGAATGAGGACTCCAAGTTCTGACTCACTGCCTACCGCCTTGATAACCAAATTCACCGGGATCCAATTCCCTGCTTTACCATCAGAGTTTGGCAAGAAGCACATTTATCGGGTTTTAACAGCAGCTCTCTCCGCCAAGGAGATAATCGCTAGCCGCAGCGAACTACGCCATATCTTGTCCAGCGCGGCTCATTACTCGCTTGGGCACTGGAGCCAAACCTTCAGTTTCCCAAATAACTGCAACTCTGGCTTTACTAACACCGCTGCGCGTACTCTCCGCGGCCTCAGCAGCTCCAAGGGAGGCGGGCGGGAGAAATGCGGCCGCGAACCGGAGCAACCTGCGTGCCGTCTGCCTGCGCGGGCCAGAGACGGCGCCCGGTGCCTCACCTTGCCTTTCTTCTCCCGATCCGCCTCCCAGGAATGGGACCAGAGGCGGAAAGTCGAGGTGCCGGACGCAGCCTCGCGGGCAGCCGCCGCCACCACCATTAAGGCCCGGTCGGGCCTGCGCCCTCTTCTCCCCTCCCTATACCCCTGCCAAGCCCGGCCCTCACCTTGTTCCGCCAGGCAGAGCCCGGCCCGCCGTCGGCGGCAACTCTGACCGAGTCCATCTGCACACGCAAGGGTGGGCGGGAGGGGACAAGAGGGGCTCTCTGTACGCAGCGACACTCGGAATACGAAACCTTCCGGGTTCTCCCCAGTTGCCTCTTCCCGTCACCTGCCGTCAGGCTGCCCATTGGCCGGCGGCTCGGCGCCTCACCCTCCTTTCCGGTGATGTCAGCGGGGCGGGGCGGGGCGGGGCGGCGCGGCGCTAACCGGTGGGCGCTGAAGCTGGTGTCTTTGGCTTCGGCGGGAGGAAAGGCGGGGAGACCTGGCACCTTGGAACGGGGACATGGAGCGGAGTGCTAGGGCAACGGCACCTGCCCGCGGGGCGGTGCTGACGGCACGGCACAGCACACAGCGCCAAGTTACAGCGTGACGTTCGCGTTTAGAATCAGAATCATAGAACAGTTAGGGCTGGAAAGGACCTTAAGATCATCAAGTTCCAACCCCCCTGCCATGGGCAGGGACACCTCACACTAAATCATATCACCCAAGGCTCTGTCCAGCCTGGCCTTGAACACTGCCAGGGATGGAGCTTTCACAACCTCCCTGGGCAACCCATTCCAGTGCCTCACCACCCTAACAGGAAAGAATTTCCTCCTTATATCCAACCTAAACTTCCCCTGTTTAAGTCTTAGCCCATTACCCCTTGTCCTGTCACTACAGTCCCTAATGAAGAGTCCCCCCCAGCATCCATACAGGCCTCCCTTCAGATACTGGAAGGCTGCTATGAGGTCTCCACGCAGCCTTCTCTTCTCCAGGCTGAACAGCCCCAGCTTTCTCAGCCTATCTTCATGCAGGAGGTGCTCCAGTCCCCTGATCATCTTCATGGCCCTCCTCTGGACTTGTTCCAACAGTTCCATGTCCTTTTTATGTTGAGGACACCAGAACTGCACACAGTACTCCAGGTGAGGTCTCACAAGAGCAGAGTAGAGGGGCAGGATCACCTCAAGGCCAGGTTGGACAGAGCCTTGGGTGACATGGTTTAGTGTGAGGTGTCCCTGCCCATGGCAGGGGGGTTGGAACTTGATGATCTTAAGGTCCTTTCCAACCCTAACTATTCTATGATACTATAATTCTATGAAGAAATATTTTGTAAAATGACAACTAAACAAAGTAATTTGCCACACATTCACCTAACAATTCATCTCCTAATAAAAATAGTTAAAAATCTAGATAGAGCAGAAACTTAAATTCATATTACTCAAAATAATTACAAAGCTGTATAGCAATTACTTAATATGTAATTCAAATTAGTCATGATAAACAATATTGGCAGAAATGTATATCTTCATTCATAATCTCTTACTGTAAGTGGCTTACAAGAATGCAAACCTGCCTCTGCAGCTTACTGTAGGAAGATCCATCATCTTTGCCCAAGTCTCACAATTTTAACAAAAAATGCTGGAAGAAGCACAAAGAGAGAAATCACTGTAATATTTTCAACTAAAATGACAAGTCACTAAAACAAAATGCCTAAAGTATTATGCTTACTTTGTAGATACTCTGTAGATACCTGTAAAATTTTCTTATTCTTTTTTAAAGCTTTACAGGCTGAATGTTTGGCACAATACAAAGTATTCCCTTGTTTGCAAAAACCACTCTTGACGTGCTTACATAAACATATGCTCTGTGAAGTGGAAATGCTGTATCACCCACCACACCATCTTTATCACATCCGTTACAGTGGCACATCAGTACCACTGATCTCTGTAGGCCTCAATGGACCAAACTTCTCAGCACTGGAAATCTGATGTCTGTTTTGGGCCACCTCCTTCCAGTCCATATGGGATTGTGTCTGTGCATGGGGTAGTTTAGATTGAATATTAGGAAAAAATTATTCTCAGAAAGGGTTGTCAAGCATTGGAACAGTGTGCCTGGGGAAATGGTGGAGTCACCACCCCTGGAGGTATTTAAGACATGTAAGTGGTTCTCAGGGCATGGTTAGTGGTGGACTTGGCAGTGCTAGGTTAACTGTTGGTTTTGGTTGTGTTAAGGGTCTTTTCCAACCTCAATTATTGTATGATTTTTTTTGATTCTGTGATGGACCAAAACACTTGGAATTTGTTTTGGTACAGCAGAGACCACTGAGCTGTCAGTGCACTACTGACTTTCTTTTGAGGCTAAATGTAGCAGGTTAGTCAGGCTCACTTTATAGGCTGGAGTTGGACTCTGGTCTACTAGTTAGGGCCCCTCTCACTCCCGTTTAGGCATTGTTCAGCTCCTTGTTCATGCTGCTTTGCTCCATCCTCTAAAAATAGGGTGTACCTGTACAGAAGAGAGCCCTGGGCTTTTCATTAACTGAGCAAAGCCAAGATGAGAAAAGCAGATAGGGACTGGCTAATACCAGATCTGGGAAGAACAAGGCTTACCTAGGCCATAATAAAAGAACACCCAGTAACCCTGCCTAGGTAGGGCAGGTCTTTCACTGCTTCTCAACTTCCCTGGGATATTTCTTGCTTACTCATCACTGATGAATCACAAAATGGTTTGGATTGGAAGGGACCTTGAAACTCATCCAGTTCCAACCCTTTCCATGGGCAGGGACACCTTCCACTAGACCGGTTGCTCCAAGCCCCATCCAACCTGGCTTTGAACACTGCCAGGGATGGGGAAGTCACAGCTTCTCTGGACAACCTGTGCCAGTGTCTCACCACCCTCACAGGGAAAAACTTCTTCCTTACATCTACTCTAAATCTCCCCCCTTTCAGTTTAAAGCCATTCTTCCTTGTCCTGTCCCTACATGACCTTTTAAGAAGTCCTTCTCCAGATTTCCTGTAGCCCCTGTTTAGATACTGGAAGCTGCTCTGAAGTGTCATTTGGAGCCTTCTCATCTCCAGGCCGAATAAACCCAATTCTCTCACCCAGTTTTCACAGCAAAGGTGCTCCAGCCCTCTGATCATCTTCTTGGCCCTGCCCTGGACTTGCTCCACACCCATCCTGTGCTGGGGATCCCAGAGCTGGAGGCAGTACTGCAGGTGGGGTCTCATGTGAGTGGAACAGATGGGGAGAATCATCTCCTTCGACCTGCTGGTCATGCTCCTTTTGACGCAGCCCAGCACACGGTTGGTTTCTGGGCTGCCACCGCACACTGTCAGGTCGTATCCAACTTTCCATGCCCAGTATCCCAAGCCCTTCCCCGCGGGGCCGCTGCGAGGCGGCAGCACCGGCCCTTTAAGGAGGCGGTGCCTGCCGCGGGGTCCCGGTTCCCGTTGGTGCTACGTGTCGCTGCGATGGCCGCCGCCAGCCGGACTTGCGTGCAGGGGCGTTCGCGGCGGGGCGAGCGGTGACAGATGTATCTGAAGAGGCCGGCGGGTGGCCTCGCTTTCTGCCTCTTCTACCTGGCGTCCTGTTTCACCAACAAGGTGAGGGACGGCGGGCAGCTGCCCCCTTCTTCCCCAGCATCGGAGGGACCAGGGCAGGGAGAGGCGGAGGGGATGCGGGGCGCTGGGAAGTCTCTCCGCTGTAGCGGTAGTAGGGGGATGCGTCTGAGGTCAGTGCTGGGACACAGGAGGAGGAGGAAAAGGAGGAGGGACTGTATCCTCTTCTTGCCCTGCCCTCCTCAGGGAGAGCCGGCGGAGGAGGTCTGCCGGCTAGTGAAGCCTTCCGCCTGGCACCTTAGACCAAATGCGCACCACAGTGTGCGCTCCAAGTTGAGAATGGCATGTTTAGGGGAGAAAAGGGGGTAATATATTATTCAAACGAATGAAATGTTAGCTATAGAGCCAGAAATTACTCTGCTTTGAAAGCGCTGATGAGGCTGGATAGTTACTGCAGCTACTGAAAGCACAGCCATTCCCCAAGAGATCTATTAACAATAATATCAAGTATACAAGGGAAAAATGTGAGATACTCAAATTGTTATAGCAGCAGTGAAACAAATGTTAAGTTCTACAGACTCTTTTACAGCTTAATTAACCTGCAAATTAAGGACAAGAAATTTTGTTTTCCACTGTGCAACTTAATTGCCCACTGGTATTGCTGAAATGTTTAAGTAGGAAAAGTAGGCTGAAGATGGCCACATTGTGGATAAAGTTGCATGGTTTAAACATAGCCATAGAGTGAGCAGTTTTTTCACTCTGGGAGGAGGAGATAAGGTAATAACCACTCCTTGCTGTCCTATTTATCAGAGAGTGTGTCTGTGTTTCTGGTGCAGATTTCTGAAAGAAAAGATGTTTTTGAAGCAATCGGGGTATGGATTTTCTGAGGGAGAGTTAGAAAACAGTAGTATTTTAGAAATGAAAAGAAAATCTTATATGAGCATTGGCCACTGGTTTCTGTACCAAGGTATGCTTGCCATTAAGGACACCCAGACGTAGGCTGAAGTCCAGACGTGAAGCAAAGTTTCTAGGGAGAGGTAGCCCACTTGATTTGACAGACTGCTAGGAGCAGTGATTAGTTGAACAGAGAGAGGCTAGAAAAGCTGCCAGATTGCATTGTACGTTGGAAAAGGTTTGACTGCACTTGAGAGGAAATTGGAGGGACTTTGACATAGGGCATCCATTTTCAAACCTGAATGGAGGTTTTACTGTATTAAAGTTAAAAATAGCCAGGATGTAGACCATTCAGTTGTTGCAGGTGGTTTGTAAACACAAGAACGAGTATGAATATGCACAGATATATTGTCCTGATTTAAAACCCAGGTGGCAGTTCTGCCAAATGTATGTATAATATGATCCGTTGTGAACCAGCAACCCCTATCTCTGTATATTGATGCCAGCTTTTTAGTGACACTCCCCACACCTAAAAGCTGGATCTTGCAAGCTGCTCAGCACAGTTTCTTCTCTGTTGAAAGCTTTCAGCTTCTTTCACTGTTGAGAGCTTGTGCTGGCTCCTGGAAGGGGTGGCAGGTACCTTTCCTTTCCTCTGAAGAAGCTTCAGCCTTCTTCTCCTTTGCACAAATAGTATTTATATACTTCATTACGAGAAGCTGTTAGATCCTGATACACATATTGAAAGGCATATATATTTCTGCCTCATATTTGCATATATACATATATAGTGGGAAAATACACTGGTACCCATATGCCCAGACCCTGACAAAGCATGCTAAAACAATGACAGAGAGGCTTTGCTTCTTTCCTCCCATATATTACATCTCCATAGAGCTTTTTGGGCTGCTTAATATTTTACACAAAATAGTGTGTGAACAGAGTGTCAGGTCTGTAAGATAAATTAATCAGAAGGAGACAAATATATTAAGATTGATTCTGCCAAAGTTTGCCCCTGTGGTACGATATGGTTTGAGTTGAAAACTGCTTGTGTCTTTTTGTTCCTGTTAATCGTTTTCTCATTCAATGTGATGCATGGAATGTGCTCAGAAAGAGCATTTTGGAAGGTAGCCTTCTCTCTGTTGTTCAGTGTGTCTACTCTGTACCCCATGATCTTTGGTGTCTGCTGCCTTCCACAGTGACTGGGACAGCATCCAGCATTGGAAGAGAAATAACTGATTTTTTGTTTTGTCTTTTTATTTTAGTAAAAACTGTTTGTTTTGTTGCTCTTGTGATTGTTGATGTTATAAGCTGGAGGTGCTTGATGTCCATTAATTTGGTATTTGTTTTCCAGTATGTCCTGTCTGTCCTGCAATTTACCTACCCTACCCTTTTTCAAGGGTAAGTATTGTTTTAAGAATACAGTTGTTTGGAAAATTACTTCAATCAGTAAATATCTTGCTGTTCCATGCTGAAGCTAACTTTCTTACCTCTTGTCATTACTGGCTTTTGCTGTCTAGAGAACATACTTTGCGAAGCCTTAGTAAAGCATTCATTCATGTGTCCTGGTTAGTTTTTAAACACCACAGTGGTGGTGTAATTAAGATAGACTTTCTCATTTCCCGTTTTTCTGAAAGTCTTGTGCTTCAGCGTAGAAAAGTTGCAGTTACAGTACTGCCTGTCTTCTTTGGAGATGGCACTCATGGATAATGTGCAGCTTGCTGTGTTAATGAAAACTGACCTTAAACCCATATTTAGGCATACACATATCATGTTGCTTATTTTCGCGCTTAGCCTTTGTAACTCTGCATTACAAGTTGCTGTCATATCTTAATGATCATGCTGAGAAATGTAACAGTTTGCTAAGTATACATCAGTGCTGTTAATAATTTGTGAGACATTTACTGAAAGTCTAGCCTCTTAATTTTAAGACTTTCCCCATTTGTTCTTTTGAGATAATGGTAAAAATCTGCAGACACTGGATATCTTTAATTCCTTTACTGATGCTTAACATGGCTTATATTTTTGTCTGACTCGCAGCATCAGGACTTCAGTCAGCTCTAGGAATGATTGCCTGAGGAATCTCCGTTTTCTTTGAGTGTATTCAGCTCTATTAAATGTAGAGCTGTGTGTCAATGAATGCTTTGACACACCTACACAGAGACTGTCTCTTGGACAAGGCTTTTATCATAGGGGGAGAGGGTTTTGAGTAATGTGTGTAAACTACACATGTTGTAAATCAACAGCAAAAAAAGCACACTTCAGTGGCAAGCAACTTCTTTATGGTATCTGTGTTGCCACAGTTGCTTCCTTTTTCTGTTATTTGGAAATGCTTCTCAGCATCTTAGTATTTTTCCATGAGTTCTGGCTTTTAAAAGTGATCTTTCCTTAATAATAGTCTCAGCTGCACTTTCATTTAGAGCTATGACAGATGAACAAAGGAGCAAAAGAATGTTTTTCTCGGTTCATGCTGTTACTGTTCATTGCCATTGTTTTTGTTCCCTGTGTGATCTGAGAGTATATTGCATAGTGCTAAGCATCTGGAACTTCAACTTCTGTCCTTAAAACCTGAGACAAGAGGAAATCCTTCACAGTAGAGTTGATGGGAATTCATCACTGGCTTTGTTTAGAGCATAGTCAAGCTTGCAGCAAACATCAAAGATACCTGGCTTCTAAGCTCTCGTATGCTCCTCATCTAAAAAGGTGAAGTGAGCTGTGATAGTAGCATTGAATATTCATCATACCCATGTGGACAGTGAGCTCGCTCTTCTCTGACACTGTCCAACTGTATGTAATACAACATAGAATGAATGTTTGTTTATTTGCATATGTGTGAGATTTTGAATACTTGCTTAAGTACGTTGCGATGAATGGGAATAATAAATAAACCCACTTCTACACCTATCACAAATATTGATGTGATTTAATACTGTAATACAGTATCTGTGTTTGAATGATGCTAGATGGTTAAGGATTTTTACCTGAGAAGCATGAAACACCTCTCTGAAAACCACTGGCTTAAGGGAAGCAAGCTAATAACTTATTTTAAAGATTTAAAAAAAAAAAAAATCAGTATGCATCATCAGTCATTTTAAGTTATCTGCAAGCATTTCTAAGGCCTCAAATATTTCCATAATAGACTAAGGAACACCCTTATGGTAGGATAAATCATTATATAGATAAGTCAATGCAGAATGTGTGTAATTGTTTTATACCTTCCCAGTGATAACACCTCAGTATTGTGGTTTACATTGCAAAGTTTTCTGGCTGTAAAGTTTCCTCTAGAGGTTCTGAATCAGAGGCTCAGGCAGCATAGTGATGTTGTTGTTGATGACACTTGACTTGGTGCTTGCTACACAAGATGTGTCTGTGGAGGGAAAGCAGGCTGAGTTGGAGAGATTTTGTAATCTAAGACCATGTGGAGTCATAGGGCTAATGCTTGAAACTACTAGGACTATACATGTCATCCTTGAGGCTTATTACTTCATCTGAAGCGTCTTTGAATCCTGAAATTGTGTTTCTTTGTTCTGACAATAAGAGTTTATGTCTAAAAGATAGTCATCTCTTGTCACACATCTTCAGATCAAGATCATGGCTCTAACATCGCTATTATTATTGTAAACCATGTGTGGGAAGAGATGGTAAATTCAGTAACATGATTAAGGTAACTGGGGTAAATTTACAAAACATTTGAAACAGGAAGTGGAAGCACCTGAGTATTATAAAATTTGGAGGAAATGAAGGCCCACAAAAACAGAAGATTCAAAGGGGAATTTTGACATCCCTGGCAGCCTAGAGAAACAGCAAATAACTGGAGTCATGTTGCGCTGTGGGAAATTCTGTGGATTCTAAACTCATGCTCTATGTGGACAAAAAAGCAAATAATTCAGAGGTGCTGTGTTGTTTTTATTTCAGGTGGCAGACATTAGTGGGTGGACTTCTGCTTCATGTCTCCTGGAAGCTGGGCTGGGTGGAGATAAACTTGTGTTCAAGGTACTGTGGGGTTTTCAGTATCTGCTAAATACTTATTTTCTGTATCTGGGTTATGACATAGTTAAGTTGGTTGTGGAAGTTACTAACTTGCTAAAATATAAGTCAGGAGGTGTGTATGTGTTCTGCTTCACAGGTGTAGGAGAGATCTTGTGTTTTAGTCTAGTGAATGTTCAATGACACGCACCTCAGCTGATTACTACTGTAAAGTGGATTCAATTTCACCTTGGTAAGACAGAGTCTTGGTCAAAAAATCACAGACATTAGTGAAAACTATAAAGGTAGCTTATCCAACTGTCTGTCCACATGTCTCCCCTGGATTATTTATAGTATTTTAAGAGAAACCTTGGTTGAGAGCATACCCTTTCCGAAAACTTCAGTGCAGTGAAGTCCATAAATGTGGTCTGCCTTTTTCTGTGAGAGCTGTGTCCCATAAATAGGTATCATTCACTCTTGCCTAACTCTAGCATTTATTACCGCACAGCAAGAGCAGTTGCTGCAGTACAGGATTGATATAATAATCAAACTCCAAATTAAAAGGTGTTTTATGGCAAAGATCATCTGCTTGAACTGTGACAACTCAGAAGAATCTTCCAGCATACTGTACTATCCATTCTGCAGTACGGAATGTGGTGTATCTTTTTACTTTTGCAGAAATAGTATAATTTAGAAGATGTATGCCCACAGCAGTTTTTCAATTGCCATCTCTGGAGATACTAAGGGCTTTACTAGACAATGACCTGAGTAATGTGACTTGATTCTGAAGCTGGGGTGGTGATTGGACTAGATGGCTGTCAGAGTTGCCTTCTAATTAACTTTTTTCAGTGATTCTGTGTTAGCAACTGGTGGACTCTCTGTTTGGGATTCAGATGGTTGGCTTGCAAAACTCAGTCTCCTGATTTGTGATGAAATCTACATGTATTTCAGAAGAGCCAGGCTATGTTCTGTTTTCATGTCCATGCAAGTGACTACATCACCACTGAAACTTATGTGAAGTTGTAAATAGAAACAGAATTTTGCTTCTTATCTCTTACCTGTAGTGCAGATAAAATGAGGATGTTGGTGTAAAAGCTGCCAGGGGTATTGGTAGAGTAAGGATTAGGGTCCAACCCTTGCTTTAGTGGCAGTTATTGCGATGCATATTGTTATCAAATGCATATTATTTATGCAGACTGTGGCTTCGTCAGAACAGTCTAAAAGAATACAGCCATCAGTAATGTCCTTTCTAGTTCAACTTCTCATCACTATTTTTGCTTTAAACTATGAAACTAAAAAAGTTAGAAATTAAAATCTTTTTTCAGATTCAGAAGTTTTTTTTTGGTTTTTTTTTTTCAAAACTTGGAGGACATTGAAGGAAACAGTAGACAAGAAAAACTTTTTTACCGTTGAGGAGGATGTTTTTATTTAAGAAAAGCTTTTGTGAAAAATTAGTTCGTGTTTTGACAGTGGAGATTTCAGGCCACTAGATGTCAGCACACTGTAGGAAAAGTGATTTAAATACATCTTGAGAAACCGCTTTATTAGTTTAGCCAGTACAGAATTCCTGTTCTAGAACAGAGTGAATGAAATCACCAGAATTAATTGACATGTTTTGGCTATAATTCAGCCAAATACTTATGCATGAGTTTAAACCCGTCTTTATTCAGAAGAATTAGGATCATGCATTAATGCTTTGCTGAACTGGGCTTGTAGCATGTATCTGTGGTTTAAAAAGAAAAAAACAACCACGAAAACCCAACAACCAAACCCCAACTAAACAATAAAATTCCCAACAAACAAGCAAACATAATGTCTCAAAGCTTCTGTTTATCACTCCCTCTCAACTCTTTCCCCTTCCAAAGGTGATTTTTCTTAGTACTACCACTGGGATAAGGACATTTCCAACCCCCCCGTAGTGAATATTGGTCTGTGAATCTATCTGTTCGTTTGGGGGGGGGGGGGGGTGTTGTGCAGGATACTTATGATATCTGGTCCCCAGTCTTGTCATGCTTCAAATAAGAAACTGTCACCCATTTGTTTATTTCCACAAAGTGTCAGCATTTTTGTCATGTGGACTGATCTCGTACGCTTCTTGAGCCAGTTCAGGTTATGTAAGGGCCTCAGCAGAATTATCACCTAGAGATCATCACCCTTTTGTCTAAAGTCTGGAATTAAATTAACAAATTAAAACATATTGCTTAGAGTAATTTCTCTTAGGTCTTGTGGATATCCTGGTTTTCATCTGTTTTCCCCTGGTCCTCCCAGCTGCAAGGGACTGTCACCATCGTTGTTGCTTCTAAGGGCTGAATGGTGACCATCTGCAAAACTTGTATCCAAAGCAAGGGCTCTGTGGATCTTCAAGGAGTGCGTGTAGCATCTGCATAATGCTTCCAGCACCACATTCTGCTGCACTAATCCTTGTAAGGCACGTTAGTCTTGTGTGTTCTGGTTGGCATTTCTTGTAGTGCTGAATTTTCCCCCTGTCTAAGCAGCAGCTCAGAGCCTTGCTTGAACCAAAGCTCCGAAGTGTGGTTTAGGGGAACCTATCCATTGACTTTAGTGGCTTTTGAATCTAACCCTACAACCACAGCTCGTCAGTTCTTTTATGTCAGTGAGCTTTTTTGTTTTTCATGTACATCGCTGTATTGCCAACATAAAAAGCTACTAATTGGTTTACATACAAAGACAGATTGTTGGTGCTGACACATTACATCAAACATCCATGCATTCTTTTTCAGTCCTTGAATTCCCATTTGGCAGCATAAAATTCTACCCTTACATCATGGAAAAAACATCTGAAATCTTTTTCCATGACACTTCACAGTATTGCATTGGAAACGAAGGCATGTTTGGGATTCCTAGACTTTAGTGGTTGGGAACATGAAAGAGTGATATTTTTATGTTCTGAATGAAAATTTGGTTTTCAGCGTGTGTTCCTTTCATCTTCCCAGCCCTTCTTTCTCTTTGTCTATTCTCCTTTCTTCCGTTTGTGGAAGTTCCAATAAGGTGTGAGTATTCTGTTGGTGTCTTATGTGAATTTGCTGGTAATGAGGTATGAGAGTTTTAGATCCTGGTTTTAGTGAAATTCCAGTTGAAGTCAATAACCCTAAAAGGAACAGTGTTTTTATACAAAATTACAGTGGCTACCCAAAAAAAAAACCCAGAACAAATATCTATGCTGGTAAAAGTATTTAAAGATTACTCTATTTTTGTGACCCTGGGTTTTTTATCAGGTATCTTAGAAAATTATTTATTAAAAAGAAAAAAAGAAATGTGGTATTTAGGTTTTTTCTTGTTTGTGTTTACATTAATTTTTGGGCATGTTTTATCTTCATCTGGACTGTTCTGATTTCATTGTTTAGTCATCTATTTTTCTTGTATTCATGAAGTGTGGTAGTGTAGCAGTACCTATATTTACATTTTAACTCTTACACTAGTTGGAAGTGTAATCCAAATTAAGGAATTACAAAGCAGTTTGGTTTCATTCTGAGAACCAGTATTATTCATTAATGTTTTCTTGACTTTAGTTTAATGCTTGGGAAGACTGAATAGAGGTAGCAGTGTCTTCAGTTCTGAGAAGCATTTGGATCAGGCCTTTAGATCATTGCTACTCCTTTCCTCCCTTGCTCAAAATCTTACATTATTCTGTCTGAAATTTACCACCTACCTGATCCCTTTTTCCCTTTAAGTAACAAGATCAAAAACCCAAAAGTGCGAATTCTGAAGCTCCTTCTCAGAACTGAAAGCTGGCCCTGCTGCAGTAACCATGGATTAAAAAAATAACAATAATAATCAGATCAATCTGGTGACTTCATCCCTCCATTAGTTGTCAGACTGCCTCTAGGAGTTTGGCTTAGTTGAGGGAGCATCATTAGGAAATCTCAAGAGATATGCTTCCACAGAGACAATCTGACCTTTAGGAAGAATCTCTTTTTAAATCTGGCTGAAAAATGAATGTGTGGGTGGGGAAATGTATTTCTACATAGTGAAAATGTGTGCTGTCTGTGCGAGTGTGCTATTTTGTCTTCATTTGCCAGTTTTTCTTCCTTTTACAGCGCATCAAGGAAATTAGTTGAAATTTCTGTCCCTTAAAACCAGTAGGAATAATTGCTGTGAAACAAACAATTTCACAGGGAGAGAAGCCAAGGAAAGAGTTAAAGAAAGAAAATATATCTGTAAATCGCTCTAATCCAGTGTTAGATGAAGTGATTCATTTCTGTCTCAGGATTCTTTAGTAAATGGGAGGAATACTGAACACTCAGACGATGAATTCAATATGCACATCTTTTAAATTCATGTACATATGTATGTATTATTATATTCCTTGCAAGCAACTGTTGCTGGCTGTATGTAAACAGAATGTGGTGAAGTAATGGGATTTTAATTATTTCCACAGGTCTGAAATCCTGTCGTGGCTTCCTGCTTCAGTACTTTTTGTGGGCATTATTTATGCTGGCTCTAGGGCACTGTCTAGATTGGTAAGAAACACACAAGTAGAAGTCAGTTCTTTATTACATCTAATTTATGAGCAAAGAACATTCCCTTCATACAAGGTGTTTAATGGTGTTCCTCTGTTGGGGGAAAGAAGGAAGGAGGGGTTTAAGTAATACATACACTGTTAATGGTGCTAGAGCAGTGATCCCATCCTACAAAGTGCAGAGCAGTATCAAAAAACACCTCTGTGATGGTCCATAGCACTCAGCATCTCTCCAGAGTGCTTGGTGTTTTGCAGAGTAGATCATCAGTTGCATGAATTGTGCAAGTGCGGAGGAAGCTGAAGAAGTTACTGGCTGTAAGTTTTCAAGAGGGGGACTGGGGCTGTGGGATCTGTAGGAAATCCTTCCAGAAGGATGAAGACCATTTCAGTGATTTTGATGCTTTACAGGATTTGAAAAAATAAATTGAAAGTTCAAAAGGTATTATGGAAAGGGTTAGATTAATCAGGTTTATGATCCATTTGAATCAACAGTAACCTACTAAGTGTTCAATGGATATGCTGAATTGAAGTTGAATGCTTTTTACTTAAATTATACAGTCTTTTGTGGGGAAAAAAATGGTGACATGAATTTTTGAAAACGAGCAATTTTTTACTGCTGCTATGCAGTCTGCAAGGCCAGATTCTGCCCTAGTTCCCTTCTGCATTCTGTCAATGCATCTTAATCTAATACCAGAGCCAGCTTGCTCTTGCCAGCTCCTAAACCGAATGGAGGATCAGAAGGGAATTTTTGCCAATATTTTGCTTGTAGTGATCCCTTGAACTTCCCAGTGGAGAGATAGGGCAGAAAAAGACAGGTCTTTGTCCTCACAAACAAGTCTGGGGGCCTCATCTTGGACCCAAGTGGACCAATCTTCAGAAATCACAGGCGTATGCTCAGTAGCCCCATGCTTTTTAAGATTAGCTTTGCTTCAGGGTGATTGCATTTGCTTCCTCTTGGTTCCTTGTCAAAACAAGTTCTATTGGGCTCCTCTGGTGTAAACTGAGCAAAGATCCCTAACGAAAGCCCTGCCTGGAAACAGCAGTAAAGCCTTGGAAGCGGCGTCTTTTCTGCCTGCTCACCTGGGAGGTGGAGGAGGGATGTATCACATCTTCTCTGCTATTTCTTCTTATTTCCTAGTGATCCCTTAAGCTACCTGTCTCCCTCCTGTCCCTGCTTAGGTCATTCAAGAGTGAGATGTACTGGAGTGGCAGAGGGGCTGTGAATGGTTTTGACTTATATCCCAAACCTTTCTTAAGGACGTTATATCCCAAACCTTTTTTAAGGAGCATCTCCCATTTCTGAATGGCTTCTTGTTGTACATGAATAGGGATTTAGAGGCCTAATTCTGTGGCCATTTTAGGAGAAAAGACAAAAGCACAAGTTGTCTTAGGCCGTTAGTTAAGTAATGCCTTGTGCTGGGGCTAAATTCAATCCTGCAGATAAGCTTTAATTACAGTAACTTTGTGTACAACAATTTTGTGACACAGTGAGAAGGAAAATGAACTCTCCATATTCTGCACCTGAATAGGTTCACCTTAGCAGCATATTTTTGAATTAAGTGGGTTTATTGCTAAAGCAGAAAGTATGTGTACTTTTTTGATCAAATCCAGGGAGGCTCACCTTCAGACATTCCTGTACACTGGCAGGGCTACAATCTTAAATCTCTGTTCGTGCCTCTCCCTAGAGGTGCTGGCAGTCTCCCCTGCCCAGGAGTTCAGGGCTGGAACTCGAGGAGGAGGGCTTAGCTCCGGATTGTGATGCACTAACAAAAGTATGCAGAGCTGTGATGGGAGGTTTGTACAGAGTCTGTTCTCCCTACCTGCCCAACCAGTAAACCTTTCTTTTTGTAAGCATTAAGCCCACTCACAAATTTAAGAAATACTCACATCAAAGGCAACAGACATATGGAGAAGGTTAACTGGGCTGCGCAAACCGGAGCCATTGTTGGCTCCAAAACACATTTGGATGAGCCAAAAGCAAGGGGGAGGAAAATAAAACCCAACAGATTGGCTTCGCAAAAGGAAGAATGTAAATTGTGCTGTCAACTTTCCTTGGGTATGGTTATTTCTTGTATTTCCTATTATTGTGTCATGCTCAGAATGCTTGTATTAGATACTTCTGGGTTTATGTTCTTAGTCATCCAGCAACGGGGTTGGGAATTGGTTTTCAGAACCAGTGAAGCTGGGGCTGACAACTTCATGCCAGCTGTGTTTGTGTGATTTCCTTGCTAATTTAGAGGTGTTAAAAGTTATCTTGGTGCAACTGTTGTGTTTATGGATCCATCCCAGTTGTCATTAAACTTCAAATGTTTAATTAGCGATGCTTATCTGTCTTTGTGGGAAAGAAAGGAAAAATCCAGAAAATACAGATTTCAGAATGCATAGCCAAATTTAAGAGGTATTTGCTGTTTGTTCCACCTGAAAAGGCATGGACATCACTGAGAAATTAACTCATTCTCTACTCACATAATTTAAATACTGTACACAAGCAGGGAAATAGTGCTTCCTAAAGCTGCCATAGTTTTTAGATTATCTTAATCGGAGCAGAGAATTGCTTGTTTCAACTGTTTGAGAGACCATGGATATGATTTGGAGGAAGTATTATGAACCAGTAATTCTGGTTGGGTTTGCCTAGGGCAATGGGTGGTTGATTCATTATTGTTATCACTGAGGTTTGTTTCTTAATGATTTCATGTTGGCATGGTGTCCAGATACCTCAGTGGGTAGAATTTTGCCATCACTTGTGTATGAACTATTATATCTCTACTCTAATTTTGGGCAGCTCTTCCTAGCAGTAACTGAAAGCAATCACCTAAAATCATCTTGCCTGTAATTCTGTTGCTAGGAGTCAGACTGTATTCTTAGGAGCAGTAGACAGAGATGGGAAAACTAATGAGAACCATTTACTGTGGAGGCTGCAGATATTTGAACAGAGAGGCAAAACTAGAGGCACAAACCTGGAGCAAATCTCACTGTGTGTTAGTTGCATACAAGCAAACTGGCTGAGCACTCAGAAGTGGGAGAAGCAGCAAGTAGAGTCTGTGTTGAAAGATGCCTGTGCCATGTAAGAGCAATTGGAATGGCTCTAAGTCACTTTTAGGAGATGTGGTGTGGGTTTACAGCTCAAAAAACGGAAACAAACCCCAAAACCGCAAGCATGTGGGACAGCTGTCCCTTAGAGGGGTGCCTCTTCCTGTGTGTGTGACTGTTGTGGTTTGATTTAGGCATTTTTCTTCTCTCCCAATGGCAGCCAATCCCAGTGTTCCTCACCGTGCACAGCGCGTCAGAAGTTATAACTTATGGGTTCCAGAAGTGTGTGCAGAAAGAGGTAACTGATCTATTAATTGACACATTCAAGGTATCCCCTGTGATATAACTGCCACATAGCAAACCACCTGATTTCTTTTAATCTGGGCATTAGTGCCATGTGCTTTCCTGATCTTGCAGTGATAGCTAGTCATTAATGAGACCGAGAGAGCTTTGCTATTTCTGTTGGTGTTTTGTTTTCCCCTTCCGTTGATGAAACTTTGCAAATATATATCACCAGTTTGATCTGCATTTTTAAGACTGGCTTGGTCCTGCTTGTTTTTCCCTTTTGAAAATTAATATCCACCCTCTCTCATGCCCCATGTCAGATTATTTTTGAGCTGAGAGGGAGGAGGCCTGGGTCTCTAGATCTAACCAGTATATCTAGTGTATTGTATGATTATAGATAGATCGCAGCTCTACATGAAATGCAGGAATAACAGTGCATTTCTGGATTTGTTTTGAATGCTTCAGAGTCTGTCCCAAGTCTTAAATCTGTCTTAAAGTTAGGAGAATAATTCCTGCACCCTGTAGTAAGAGATGGGTTTCTTTCTCACAGACTCATTGGGAATCCTTCTGTTTTTTTTAGGCTATGAAATGCTTTTCTAATTGACCAGAGAGCTGCTGTGTGAGGTAGCTCTGAGAAATCATTAATCACAAAGTCATTTCTACAGTGGCCTCTGGCTTGCTGTGGAAGGGATTTTCCAATCATTACATCTGTTGTGTATGTAGAAGACAAATAAATGGCCCATGTTTGCTACTCCTAACAAACTGAAGAGGTCACTAAGGTTATGCCTATGGGGCATAGCAGTGTGTACCATGGCATGTCCCTATGTCATTGTCCTCTGATTGTTGTCCCTGACAAAGTGTTTCATATTTTCCTGGTTATGACTCCTCTTTTTAAAAACAAAAGCACTATGGACAAGGATAATACAAACACAGATCTTGCTAGGAAGCTTCTGAGGAATAATTTTGGACTAAAGGATTGGGAAACTCTTAGGAATTTAGACCTCTGGTTGTACCTAATAAGAATACTCTGAGTACATCAAATACACGGTTTCAGTATAGTTCAAGTTAAGTTTAAGCACCAAGTGTAAAGTCATGTCTGGTTTTAGGTATATCTGCTGGTAAGAAATCTGAAAATACAAATCAAGTTGAAGTAGGCTAATCTGTAATCCTGGTACTTCTTTTCAAATTAAATTTGCTAAGCAGTGCTCAACATAATGCACTGTTGAGTGTTGCTTATAGGATTTTTAATGTGTTTGGTACAGTAAGAGCAGCTGTCATCATTTTCCTGGTTTTGGAAGGAGAAAGAACTATTTCACCCTTTTTAAATTTTAATTTTTTGTTCATACTTTCATTTTTACAGCAGACCTCTCATCTGAAAGTCTGTAGGTAAGCTCTTAAAAGTGCTCACATTCAGATTCAGACTTGTTTTGGCTCCAGCTTCTGTATTTGCTTCAGATAATGGCACACCAAAACAATGAAGAATGAAAGGCACATTCCCGTGGGCGGTGAGCGTAAATTGCAACACTGGAATAGTGAAATAGTTTTAAAATGTATTTTCCTTTTTCTTTTTTTTTTTTCAAACCACTGCTTAAATAGATACCTTTTTTCCTCCTTATAAAAATAAAAAAGGCCAGTCTTCCTGAGTAACAAAGCAGTGCTTGTAGGAATGTTTTCGGAAACGAGGTGGAAGCCAGGTTTGCTGTTCCATTAATCTTAAATGTAATCTTAAACAGTAAGAGAAAGACAATTAATGTGATATAAAATAGCTAAAAGTGCCTTTCCTAAGAAAGATAGGAAGATACCCTGTTCTGCTAGAATCACTCATATCAAGCTACACAACCTACCAGCCCTGGTTGGCCCTAGTTGTTTTGGCTCCAAAAAAGGAGATAGAAAGGAAAAAGAGAAGTCAGCCAGTCATATATTAAAAATTTTATTCTACCCTCTCCCCATCCCCTTGAAGAATGCATAGACAAAACCTTGGGTGACATTGTTTAGTGTGAGGTGTCCCTGGCCATGGCAAGGGGATTGGAACTAGATGACCTGAAGGTCCTTTCCGACCCTAACTATTGTATGATTCTATGATTCTATATTTGCTGTCCTGCACATTCTGTAATCTTTTAGTGGTACTTAGAGTAGATAGTTGGGTTATTATTTAGTGTGCTTAGAGGCACCGTCTTCCTAATTTCTTCCCGTTGTTTCCATTATTTGACTTACTGTGGCCTTGTTTTAGCCACTGGATTATTGTCAAGGATGCCATTTTTTTTATCATCTTTATTCTGTATTTTCCTATGCTCCTGGAGAGCAGGAAAATAAGCTGCAAAAGCAAATATTTGTTACTATTAGAAGTAGCATTCACAGAAAATCCACATCAGAATATTCAGTGTAGCTTGTAGAAATCCTTACCCAGCCACAGGTTAAGAATTTATTTAGTCCAAGTCAGAGGACTAGGGGAGGACTGGTGCTGTCCTTAATCCATTTCTGGTGTAATACCACTCACTCCCACTTTGCTCTGTGTTCTGGAGTTGAATCATAACTTTTAATGGAGTCACCTTTGCTGGAATTGTAATAGTCAATTCACCTTAATGAAAGAACTTTGGTAGCCATTCATGGCCAGAAATTTGTTGATTTTTGGCTTTCTGAAGCAACCTAGGGAAGCCAGATGGCAAGTGAAGAGTAATATTCCTTACCAAAAGGCTTGTTTTCATCACTGCTGAGGTGTTTTGTGCTGCTTTTTATACAAGTTTGCTGTGTATGAGTAAGAAGAGTACATGATGTAAAAACTTTGGTGGCAGAAATTACTTCTTAAATGTGGAATAAAAATTAAACAAATTAAATGTCAGTGTAAAATTGAGTGGAATTGCCTATACTTTGCTGAGAGTACAAATCCGGGTTACAAGGGTTTGGTCCTGTTTGTTTTTTCCTTCTCCACAGTGTGCTGTGCCTCCTGATAGCAGCAGTGTGCCTTCCTTTATGTGACCCACAGGTGAGCTCTGCTTTGTAAAGCAGCTCAAGTTAGATCTTGATGTTTGACATCTTGTTAGTATAAGAGGGATGTAGCTTTTACTTGTAAGCTAGGGTGGGATTCCTGTGAAGGAACTGAAAATGTCTATTGCTGTGTTGTAGTCTTGCTGGTGTTAATGTGTTTGCATCATGATAAAACCTCTGAGCAGACATACAGCTCATCAGTGAAGATGATCACTGGGGAAACCATGGTTTAACTTCATATAGGTCTTAGAGCTAATGACTCAGGCTTGGATTAATTGCACATACTTTCAGGAGGTACCTGAATTAGCTTTAATAGTACCTCTGTAGCTACTGGAGAAAGAAAGGAGGTACCTCCAGAGAGCACTTAGTCCAGCAGAGATCTGTTCCTTGGAGGTGCTTTTCTCTGCTGGAGTCTTAGGAAGCCTGCTTCCTTGGTTTAGATACTTTAGTTAATATGTGAAGCCAGGTAGGATGAATCTGGGAACTTGTCTGGATGCATCTGATCAAATGTAATCATAAGAATTGTTGCACCTGCACTAGCTCCCCTTGTAGTCTGTGGTGCAGAGCAGAAATTTCTGGTGTACCATTCATCTCCTCAGAAAGCAGACATCTAAAATATGTCAGGTGAATTCCTTTCGAAAATGTTTATTTTTCCCCATTGATGAAGAGAGCCTACCTTGCTCAGAGACAGATGTCTGTGTAAAGCGCTGTTTTGGATACTCTGTGGATAGTTGGAGCCTTGGGGAGAGGTCCTGTTAAGCTGCTGCAGGGGATGAGAGGGAAAAGGAGACAAGGGAAGAAAAACCTTAGTGATGTTCCTCTGATCTTGCCCCTCCCTGACTCCCAAGACAAGACTAAACAGACTGGGGTCTGTGTGCTCAGATTGTTTAAGATGGTGTACATATCTGAAAGAAATGGAGCTATTCTTGCAAGACTAGCTGAGAGCCTGGGTAATGGGCGTATGCCAAGTCTCTAAGTGGGACAGGAAAAGTAAGTCTTCCTAGTCTTCTTTCATCATCTTCTCTTTCTTTGTAGCATAGCTCCTACTCAGTGTACTTGCTTTTTGAAGCTAGAGGCGGGGAAATAGCAATGTTTACCTGGATGTGCTTTTACTTATGTAGATGTTCTTTATTGCAGTTTGATCCAAATGGTTATTTATGGGCTCTAATTCACTTGATCTGTGTTGGTAAGTAATTTCTTTTGGAAATGGAATTAGACTGAATGTGTTGAAGAAATCAGCTTTATTATGAAGTTACTGATATTTAAAGTTCTTGATGAAGAGCTTGGAAACACTTGGAAAGAAAAAGCTCAGTAAATATGAGAAATGCATTCCTTTTATATCTGTTACATTGAAAACAACAACAGAATAAGCTAGATATTGCAGCCAGTTAACAGTGAATGCGAAAATGCACATACAATTTTAATCAGCACTAAGCTTTTCTGGGAGTTTTTGATGGTTGCCTACTAAGAGATGCTTCTTTCTGAGGGGAAAAATAAACATGAAAAAAAAAAAACACCAAAAACCAAGCAGGAACTTGTAGCTGGAGCTTTATAGCACACACTGATTTTATTTAAAAACTGACAGAAATATTCTAAAATACCATGGAATGTGCTCCCAGAGGAAGGATGTTGAAATGTTGGGGTTTTTTATGCAATCATATGCATTTAAAGAAGAATTTTAACAATTAGTTGCATAACCTGTCAGGTTTTCTTTTGTCTGTTTCAGACTAAACATTGATTTGGGTAAATCAGAATTCTTCCCTGAAAAGCTAGAAACAGATCCAGATAATGGGAAGAAAGAGAGAGTAGTACTTTTTAACTAGGAGATTTGTGTCTTTTGGAGCTTTGGGCTGGATAATAAGGGACTTCTATTTGTTTCTTAGCTGTCCAATAGTCTTGGTGAGTGACTCATTCGTATGTTAAGTCTTGTCTGCAAATTAGGGAAGATTCTTTCTTTATTCTGTCTATCCATACTGTAAATTTTTCAGGGCAGAGGTAGTATGTTTATATGTATTTGTGTCGAGGGAGGTCTAGAGAATCTCATTCTAAAATGTTGTTAACATATGAATAAGAAACAGTTTTGTTTTTTTTTTCCCTTTAGGAAATGTTCTATAGTAAACAGTTGCTCTTAGAGAAAACAAAAAGCTAAGGATTTTTCCCTTCACATACTTGTTTGCTATAACGAGTGATGTTGCTGCTTTCTTAAAGCCAAGAGGTCTCATTTGTAAAACAGTGCTAGGCCATGGAGGTGGAAAACTGCTTAGAGAGTCTTCGGGAGGTCCCTTCTGTGTGTTTGAAACATGTAGGAAGTGCCAACATAATGTTTATGCTCAAAATATAACTTATTTCCATTTCTCTTCTTTTGGAGAGAAAGTTGTTTGTACACCCGTTGGGGGGTTTTGTGTAATTAGATTTCCTATCAACCGACACAGAATAAAGATGCTACAAGGAAGGACAAACAGATGAATTAACTTGTTGCACAGTTAATCAGGACAGAGCGTTAGAGAAAGGACATGTGTTCCATCCTTCGGCTTGTCTACTGGAGACAGAATCGCAGACATCTATTACATAGTGTTCTACTGAATTTGCTTTTCATTTTCTGTTTCTCTTTGTGTGTAAAAAAAAAAACAAAACAACCAAAGCCTTGAAGAAGGGATCTAAAAAGAAACAGAGCTTGAAGCCATATTGTTCCTTTCTTGAGTGCTTAAAGCTTTTCCCAGAATAGAAATGGGAGCCAAGAGGTGGGTAGGTCAAGTATGTAAAGAACCTGGAGACCCTAGAGCTGAGAGAACTCTGAACAGGAAAGATGGCTCAGAGCCAACAGCTGTAGGGTTCTACATAGGTGAACACATCATAGAAGGTACCCAAAAATGGGGTGGGCTGAAGAAACCATTCTGTGACACTTTTCTGTATGTATTCCCATACACGCACAGAGCTAAGAGTTTTCTTCAGAACCAGAAGAAGCACATAGCATGACAGTACTGTGAGATTATAATGCTTTGAAAACTGTTAATTTAAAGCAGTAGGTTCATTTTACTCATGGTTTCATGGTTTAGGTATCCTTTGTGCCATGTTGCTATACTGTAATTTAGAGGGGTTCCATATCTGCCAGTATCATGGCCAAACAAGCATGGTTTGTCAGAGTGATTGCATGTTACAGCTATTACACATGTCATTTCAATTACAGGGGCTTACAAAGTATTTCACAAGTTGTGGAAACCTAACTCTTTAAGGTAATGTGTTTTCATATTCTTTTAAAAAGAAAGAGATTGTTATCAAAGAAGGTTAGAGACACATCTGTGTAGCAGTCCAGTAAACTGCAGGTATTTCTGTGTTATCAGTGAGAACTGAGCCATTCCTGGTTAATCATTAATGACTTCTCTTGCAAGAGGAGCCTTATTTATTGTTGGTAACAATAGCATGTGGTTATTGATAGTCATATACCTAACTCAAACACTGAATTAGTTTTAAACAGTGTATTATCAAAGGGTGATGACTCAGTTCTGAAAGCAGATGCTCTAGTTACTGGCACAGACATTAAAAGGAAATGTTAGTTTGTGTTAGCCTTGAAAGCTGCATGGTTTGAATCTGTCAGTATCTCCCTTTGAGACACAGTCTCAAAAGCATTTAGCAGCTGGTGACTTCCCACAGGACTGGGGTGGCTGAGTACCTTAAAAACCTTACACTAATTCCATGTGCATGTTAGATAAACATGCCAGACAATAGTTGTATTGAAAGCAGGTGACATTACATGTTTACAGTGTCTATCATCTGCAGTTCTCTGTATCAAAGGAGATAGATATGTTACCACTGCATATTATGTATATGTACATAATACACACGTGTATAAAATATGACTAAGCTCATTTATTTCAAAACCATTTTCCAGCTCTTCTTAAAAGGTCTAGATTTTAGTCGGTCTCACTTTATCTTCACTTTAAATGAGACTCTCACTGACATAGTAAGGACAGAAACAATGTGCAAATGATGTGTTAATTAATACATAATTAATATGTGTAAATTAATATGATTCATATATTGATAATGTAAATAGTTTATTGTTAGACTGTATCTAATTGTAATATAATGTTAGTATTACTTAATTATAATGTGTCATATATAATATTATGTAATATTACAATGTTATAATACTATTTAATATACTGATCTCTTACACCAAGTGAACTTTGGTACTAAAAGAACACCTTTTTTTCTTTCCCTCCTCTCCCAGTGATCTGGACCAACAGTACATCAACTATGTATTCAGGTAAAATGAATAAGTCTTTGATACACCATAGCTGTCTTTATGTGGTATGTGTTTTTATTTTCGACCATGGCTTGTTTAGGAAACACATAGCTACCGCTACTTAAATGTATGTATTTAGCAGGACATTCACTGAAAGAAAGTGCTAAGCTGAACAGTTTAGCAGCTGAATTTTTTTGGCTCAGGTTGTAGGTGTACATGCCAATATACACCTGGGGAGGTAACAAGGTGTTAATTATGAATTTTTTAATCACCATGTGCACAAATAATCTATCATTTCCAGTAATAATATTTACAGAGCAGCTCCCTGGCAATACCCTGCTTCAAAAAATAAAACTTGAACAAAATTGCCAGAAGGAGAGGTAGTGATTACAAAAGTATGACGTGCAAAGAACATGAGCATAAGTGATTGTTCAGAGTGCTGTTAGTGGGATTGAGTAATTCAGACTTTCAGTTGTTTTTCTGATTTGGAGATATAAAAGTGGCTTGTTATTTTGTAGTTAGTGAAAGAGCCTGAGTCACTGACCAGACTTCCCTGTGGGTTTTTTATATATAAAAAAGAGTCAGTCTTTCCTCAAAGAGCCATATAAGCCAAAACATTTGGTGTGCATTGGCTTCTGCTAGATTTTTGTGAGGCTTTATTACAGTCTCTTCCATCCATAATCACATCTTGTATATATTGACTTATTTTCTTGGAATGGTAGCTAAAGTTGTGTGGGGGAATACTGTAGAGTACAGATACTAAGTTCTAAGAAAGGATAGTCAAAAAGAATGAAAGAGAGAACAGAGGTTAGGAATAAGCATAAAAAAGGTGAATTTGTGTTTGCCATTTGATTGGATGGATGTATGCTCTTGTTTATCACATTAAAGATCCTTGATAGGAACACCAATGTAGAACAGTTACTTCACTTCAGTTCCCATTTATCTTGTGAGCATCAGCATGATAATACCGTTTATCTCCTTTTGTCTTAGTTCAGTCAAATCTTGTATTTCCATAAGTAAGTCATGCAGGCCTCTGATTTTGCATTTGTATGATTCCAGTGTCTATTCAGCAGGGTCCCATGCACTGACAATATCTGAATACCAGTTTGCTTGAAATAGGCTCTTGTTTAAGTCAGTTGTTTTCCATCTACTATGAAGTGAGAGCAAATAAATATTACTCAAAGAAGGTAGTTGCATTTGTTGAAACTGTTTTGAAGAATTAGTCATGGAACTTGCAAAAATGTTGCTGTGTGCAAAAATAACTCATGAAATTTTGAGTGAGCTGTACCTATTTGTTTCATGTTGAATCATGAAACAAGCAGTAAAATCAATTGATTTTTCATTTGGCATCTGCTTGCCGATGGCTCTCAGTGGTCATTTTAGTTTAAAAGACGGCCTGAACCTTTAAATTCAGATTTTTCACTAAAGGTCTTAATTTTGCAGCTTTGATAGAAAAGTTAGGGTTGGGTTGCTCTGTTGGTTGATAATAGCCCTTGCCTGTGAAGTTGTGTCCAGTAGAGAGCAGGAGCTCCACATTATATGGCAAGTGTGGTTATTGATATCGAGGCTTTTGAAAGAGAGAAATTTCTTGTTAAGGAACTGTGAGGCTCAGGGATATGTATTTTAAAAACAAAAAAAAAACAAACAGTGGAATTGTGCAGATTGGAAGATGGCTATTTTTAGCATATGCTTAAACGCAAAAATGTGTAATCAAAGCTTGCAGAGATTTTCATCATTAAGGGACTTGAAGGTCAGTGTAGCTTCTAAGATGATGGTACAAAGCAGTAGCTGGAAAACAGATGGCTTAGGAGCTAGAAGGCAGGATATTTATTTGTTTGGCTTGGCTCAGTGTACCTCTGTATATGTGTGTATTTATGTATGTATTTACGTATGTATTTCTGTGTGTTAGAGGAGCTCATAGTCCATAGCATTTGGATCTCATCTTGTCTAGGGAAAACAAATGGTGCCATGGTCAATGGAATAAGTGACATCTGATTTCTCTCAGAGTTTTGTTTTGTCATAATAGCTGATGATGTTTGAGAGGATGTGAAATTTGGCAGTTGTCTCCTTGGTTGCAACCTCCACGATGTGCCACTGCTGTGAAGGTCCTCCAGTGTCTAATGGGCCTGAAATCTTTCTGCTGCAGAAAGCACTGGCAGGGTTTGTCCCTTTGTGAGACCTCGGGGCGTGTGGTTAGCTTGGAAATACTGCCACTTCCCAAATTTGGATGAGACTGGTCAGCGTGTTTGAGAGCTGTGCAGAGCTATGGATGTATGTGTACACACAGCTTTATTGCACAAGCTTAATTTATGTGGAAAGCAGTCAAAAGTATTTTTAAATCACACTGAATAGAGGGTATTTTACTCTGAACATTCTCTGAACGGGCGCTAACTCCTCACGGGCAGTTCTGGGTCAGAATTACTGTAAACATGTACTTATCTGTTGGAGCGTGCCCAGCAGTAGATTTTGTGACTTAGCAGGCAGGTATATATGCTGCTTCCTCTACTCTGGGATTTTCAAGGGATGTTTTGGCCATGAGAGGATCCCAGTTCCACCTCCAGAAGAGGACAGTCTAATGTGTACTGGTGGTCTTGTCCGTACAAGCATGATTCTGATTTATGAAGGAACTTGAAAGTGTGGTATCAGTGCAACTTTCTCCCCTTGATACTGTTACCAATAGCCTTTATAGCTCCTTATTTCTAACCTAGATCAGACAGCTGAAATGTACAGGAAAAAGAAAGAAGCCAGATAGTGTTTAGAATTGTAGAATTATAGAATCAGTTCGATTGGAAAAGACACTTAAGATCAAGTCTAACCATTAACCCAGCACTGCCAAGTCCACCACTAAACCATGTGCCTAAGCACCACATCTCCACGTCTTTTAAATACCTCCAGGGGTGTTGACTCAACCACTGCTCTGAGAAGCCTGTTCCCATGCTTGACAGCCCTTTTGGTGAACAAAATTTTTCCTAATAAAGAGGAGAATACAGGAAAATATATAAGTTTGTTGTAATAGCATCTGTTCAAAGCATTTCTGTTTGGTATGAAAGCACAGTTGTACTCTGTGTGTAGAGACTGCCTGGCTAGAGCAGATTAAAAGTTCTGCCCCAAGCTACTGGATGTTAGAATGTACCAATATGTTAGATTAAAAAAACATATATTCAGATTTAAAAGAAACATTAACTGTATTGGCTCTGTTGGAGCCAATGCAGCTGAAATTAGCGATGTCTCCTAACATATGCTGTCCCTACATGCCATTTACTGTTTCTTGTTTTCACATCTGGAACAATTTGGGAGGGTAGAGCGTCATAAGCAATGTACATGAACAGGAACTTTCCAGAGCTAAACAGATCTGAAGAAATATTTGCTTATGTTGAAAGTGTGGCGTTCTTCTCACTTCATCGCTTATAGCATGATTATTAAATGGCTTTTAAAAAGGAAGCCAGACCAGGAGCAAATATAGGAGGGAAAGCAGAGCTGTGCTATACAGGGAAAGGAGGGGTGATGGTGTTGCTTCTTAGTGCCCAACCCCATGCTGTTCATCTATTTAGACACATGGGACAGGGAGGGTGAAGAAGAGGTCAAACGTACTTCAAGAACCTCTCTATAATCCTCTGGACTTATTCCCACCACCATTTTTTACTGCGGTATTGCATTTCCCTGTACTCCAACTTCTGCATTAGTGTTCTGCTTCCTAGTGGGTTTTCAGTAATCTTGCATTTTCTTTTATTCTTTTCCAGATACCCACTTTTATCAAGGAGGAAACCATATTTCTTCCCTCTAGCTAGCTGGCAAGGTGTAGCATGAGGGGAAGGAGTAGTAATTTTACCTGGCATGTTGAGGGATACTTAATGTGTCTTAGAAGTGGGTCACAACTCATCTTGGGCTTTTTCCTGTGCTAAGGCAGGTAGAGATATGTTACTTCTTGTAGAAACCTGGAAGAAAATTTCAGGACAGGCTGAGAAAGTTGGGGCTCTTCAGCCTGGAGAAGAGAAGGCTGCATGGAGACCTCATAGCAGGCTTCCAGTATCTGAAGGGGGCCTACAGGGATGCTGGGGAGGGACTGTTCATTAGGGACTGTAGTGATAGGATGAGGGGTAACGGGTTAAAACTTAAACGGGAGAAGTTTAGATTGGATATAAGGAGGAAGTTCTTCACTGTAAGGGTGGTGAGGCACTGGAATGGGTTGCCCAAGGAAGTTGTGAAAGCTCCATCCCTGGCGGTGTTCAAGGCCAGGTTGGACAGAGTCTTGGGTGACATGGTTTAGTGTGAGGTGTCCCTGCCCATGGCAGGGGGGTTGGAACTAGATGATCTTAAGGTCCTTTCCAACCCTAACTATTCTATGATTCTGTGATTCTACATCCCCGTATCTGTCACTGTCTGATGCTTGTTCAGAAAGGCATGGTGAGGAGAAAAGAAAAATGTGTAGCAGGAGAGTTTCAAAGGGTGAATTAATGGCACTGATGAAGGTGTGAGTTGAAGGCTCTGTTCTGTGCAGCTAAGCTCCACGTGGCTTCTGGAAATGCTTCTAATCTGTCACTTTTGTAAATTAAAAAGCTGCAGATTTCCTGCAATAGGGTAGGGCAGCTTTGCAGGCATAAATTGCTGTTCTTGCTGACAAAACCTCTTTTTAGCCAGAAAGAAAACCACAGGTGATTCAGCCCTCAGTATTGAGTACAGGGGAAAAAACAGAGGAGCAGAGAAATCCAGCACAGGGATATTGGTTTTGCTGCAGCCTGATGTCCAGGCTGTCCTGCTGGAAACCTCTAAATCCCTAACATGGTTTTACAACATCATTGTGGCTTTTCTACTAATGTTCTGTTTGGAGCAGAGCTGGAGTACAACTTTAATGCCGTCTAACCTATTCGCTTTAACCTGCTCTATACTTCACAAAGAAGGTTTTGTCCTCATCCTGTGTTTGGATTGAAGCCTGGGATGTCTGGAAGGGTTATCAGTTCCTCTTGGCTAAAGAAGGAAGTTTCTCTCTGAGCATTTCCCAATCTCACTGTGTTGTTTGGTTTGTTTATTTTTGTTTAAAAACTAATAATGCAAAAAGCAAAAGTGGAGAAACATGTCTTAGTCGTAACTCTCATCATTGTTGATACAGTTCCACTTGCCCTGCCAGTCTCCTTTTTCCTCTCTTTTTTTTTTTTTATTCAGTCAAAAGTAATAGACCTTTGCTGCTGCTTCTCTCTTTACAAGGAGACTGAGGAATTGGAACTGTGTGTTGTGAATCCTTGCACTGAGAGGATTTTGGGCAGTTTTCTATAGATTCTGTCTTAGTGGTGTCACTGTCTGGCTTAACAGCAGGTCTGTTGAAAAGGACTTGGGGGTCAATACTGAGGTCTATATACGGCAGTAGTATATGATCATAGCAAATTAAGATGAACCATATATTTAGCTATGTTAGAAGGAGTTTGGCCATCATATCGAGAGAAGTTATTATGAGCACTGCTGAAGCTGTAGCTGGAATACTCTATTCAGTTTTGGGCCTCCCAGTTAGAGAAAGATGCTGAGAAACTGAAAATCTTGCAGAGGGCTAGTGACATTGTTAGGGAGCGAGAACACATGGTGTGCTCCAAAGAGAGTTTGAAGGAGCTGGTCTTGTGGAGACTGGCAAAGAGGAGGCCAAGGTACAACCTAAGCACTGCCTGCACCTTCTTGAAAGGGAGTTACAATGATGACAGAACCAAACTTTTCTAAGAAGTAGCAGATGGTATGGAACATAAATTGCATGAACCATAAATTGCAGCTTTGGTGGTTTAAAAATGGGACATCAGGAAAAACTTTGCTTGGAGAGCAGAGTGGCCCTGGGACAAGTTACCCAGAGAGGTGTGGAACCTCCATGCTAGAGGTTTCTGAGACCTGTATTTTTGAGACAGAGCCACAGAGGATTTGACTAAATATTGGTGGTAATCCTTCCTCAGGTGAGAGATTGTAGGGGGTGACTCCAGAGATTCCTTCCCAGTCAATTTTTTCTTTTATAATTGGTACTTATACCTCAGTCATTCTACTTAACCTGGAATAAGTTTCACCATGAACAAACACACACAAAACTTCTATTTATAATGTTCAGGCCATGTCATAAATTCTGTAGTAGCCAATTAATTTTTATTTTATTTTATTCTATTTTTTTAGTGTGGTGCTGTTGGCTTCTGCATCCCATCCAGCAGGTAAAGTGCATAGAGTTGTTCCTTTTTTAGGTTTCCATATTGCATTTCCTTTCCCTGCATGTTTTTAGAGGTCAGACTCTAGAGCCCTGCAATTCAACGGGAACATGACCAATAATATGATATGCTGTAGGAAGAGGAGAGGAGGGTATATAACACTGTAATTTGCATATTTACTAATACCTTAGGTGCCATTTGCAAAGAAGCAGCATGGGACTGACAACAAAGAATGGGTTTTGAGGTGGTGCATGGAACAAGGATTCCCTAGGTGAACATGTCCTTTTCAGAGCAGTGTCTCAGCAGTCCATAGAGTTTCCTTCTCTGCACTGCCCTCAGTACTATGCAGAGATTTAACTTTGTTGTTTTCATAAGTTGTAACATCCTGAATGACCAAGCAGCCTTTTTTCCAACCGGATTTGCCTATCCCACATTGCCGTTTTAGTCATCATGCTTGTCGTAAGCATGGGTAAGCCCTTCCCTAATCTTCATTTGTGAAGCCAAGCCATCAATCCCATCACTTGAGCCCATGGCAGGATTTGAAGTAGTAAAAGATCAAAAGGGTAGCAATGGAGAAACTGAATATTTGATGGTGGCTAATATTCCTATCATACTGGTGTTTTAAGAGTTAGAAGGTTAAAGATGATCATTTGTTGCTTTCACTGGACATTTGCTCAGTGAGAAAAACAAAGGAAGGAGCATTTAAGTAAAAGTTTGCCCTTTTGCTTGGTGATGCATATTGTGCATGCAGGCATTCCCCCAGCAGGGTAGACGGACACATTAAGCAAAAATCTCCTGCATTTCAAAAAAAGGAAAGATGAAGCTTCCTCCAAATCTGTAGAGCCTGAAGGCTGGAAAATTCCTGGGAATTGTTGCTACTAAGAGCAATCAGGGCCCAAGTTCCTGGAAATACAAGTACTTGAGAGTTCTACTTGGATCTGGGAGAACTTTTTTAAACCTCCCAACTAGCTCTGTGTGACAGAGTTCAAATGCCAGAGAGGGAAGCAGACAGCATATGTCTCTGTTTCCTGACTATCATGAGCTCTGTAATAAAAGAAGTGGTTATGATGCATGTCTATCCACTGGCAGCTGTTGCTTAAGCAGGATCTTCTATATATGAGCAAAGAATACTCTAATGTATCCCTTTCCCCTTTTTCAACCAAAGGCAGGACCTGGCTAGAATCAAGGTCAGAGAGAAATCATTAAACACACTAGAAATGTGGAAAGTATCCTAAATGAAAAGCCAGCCAGCTGTAAAGGCTTAAAGGAATGTTAAACTAGTAACGCTCATGTAATTGCTGTTCCCCTGCTTGTAACAGTGAGTAATTTTTTCCCCGTGTTCCACTGAGTATATTGCTTTGTCCCTCAGGTGATCTCTTCAGTGCCTTGGACTTCCCATTCCTGTACTTCTACAGGTTTCATAGCAGCTGCTGTGCCAGGTAAATTCTCTATAACAGGACATGTGAATGTTTCCAAAACAAGAGATCCTAGTGACTTCCAGCCTTGACTCTCAGTTAAAAATTTCAGAGCATGCAAAACCGTAGTTATACTACCTTTTGCTGGCATAAGCCAGTAAAACTGCAGAACATGTATCTGTGCGCATCTGTGGATATGCATTTGAGGGCCTGAGATCTGAATGTGCTGGAAGTATATATGTTTGAGGGAGTACATTCTGATCAAGGAAGTTTCCAGTCATCAATGAAATAATTTTAACCTAATGTAGCAAAGCTTTGATACATAGCGTCTCTTAAATGCTTCTCAAGTCGGATTAGCCCTTGTAAAACTTGCTGATTGCAGAGATTGCAAAGTATTAGTCTTTAGCAGTATATGGGTGTACATGGATTTATTTGCCTGTACATCTTGTTATTTGGCAGAATGCTTTTTTGGGGTAAAAGGGGAAAGCTTTAACAAGTGTTGCTTTATTTTGAGTAGCAAAAGTTGTTCACTGACCAATAATGTAATTCTCACAGGACAATGTAAATATGATTCCTGTAGGTCTTAATTATAAAAACAAAAAAAAATGATTCCAGTCTTTTGCCAAATGGAAGTATTTTCTTTTTAGAAGGGAAAAATATTTTCATGCAAACTCATGGCAAAAATATTTCCTGATTGTTAGGGATTTTCTTGCTTGTCTCTGGATCTTTCATTAGAAGTGGATATTAAAAATGATTGTTAAGTGATTTCCCCATGTACATATTTTTTTGTATGAAAGTGGCTTTTTTCAAGGGTGGACTATCCACACTACAAGTAACTTGCAGTTAGGTATTAATGAATAAATAGTTCCATGGTAGGTAGGTGAAATGTAATTTCCTCTTGAGGGTAAGGTCTAACTGCAGGCACTAATGGGCATCTGTTTAAGACCAGATGTTTTTCAGTTCATTAGAATTTTACAACTGTTGTAGCCTCCCACTTCTGATTCCATTGCCCTGGCTTCAGTACATGTATAGTAGATAGCACTGTACACTACAGCAAGTGGAAAGGAATAGTTAGATGGAGAAACAAACATCTTGGTTGCTCTCCTACATCTTGTAATGTCTTCATAGACATAAAGGATTTGGAGGAAAACTTATACAACGTAAAGTAAGTGTAACTGATGTAGCTAAATCTGCTACCTGTGCAGGATGTGTGAAGCAGTAGTAAGGTGCAAAGTGCTCCATTTATTTAATGAAATAAACTGATGTTACTTGTGACATCAGTATTTGAGGTATTACAATCAGCTGTTTCACTTTTTATTTTTGAATTACACGAAACAGCTTCACATCACTCTTGATTAAAAACGCTTCTCAGCAGGGCAGAAGATATGGAACAAACTTAAGCCAGCTACTGGACTTTCAAACGTTTGGGCAATGCTGCTTCATTAAATGCACAGATTTCTTAGTAGGATGCTCTATGGCTCAGTACTTCATCCTCTGCAACAAGGAGGGTTTGAGTTTGAGTCTCTCTTTTATCATCAAAGCAGCATTTGCTTCCTGGGCTTCAGGCGCAGTGGGTAGTCCTTTGGGGTTTCACATTATGGCTTGGTGTAAGAAACCCTAATAACTCTTACTCCAGGGCAGTTATCTTACCCTACTCTACTGATGTGGTTGAGATGCAAATCTGCCACAGGTACTGAGCAGGAAACAGCACTTGGCTGAGGTGCTGGAGACCAGCATGGAACTTCTGACATGAGGGTCTTCAACCCTTCCTGCTATTGCAGAGAGGGGACCAACTGCATTGAGTGAATCTCCAGAACAGCATAGCCTCTTCGAATACCAAGGCATTTTTACCCCACCACCTGTATGCTGGGTTGATCCTATCTCCTTTCTCATGCAGCTTCCCACAGTATTTTGTAATCCCATTCCTCTCAACCAGGCACACAGTAATTTGTGCCTTGCATATTTAAAGTCCTTTTTTTGTTCCCTGCTTGCTGGTTTACGCTTTTTCACTGGTTCACAACCAGTGGGTTGTATATCACAAGTGAAATGAAATCCAGAGCCAGATCCTATAATCTCTGTGAGGTCCAGTGAGATGTGGAACATTTTCCTTGAGAGTAGTCTTGGCTTCAGGAGCATTGAGGACTACTGTCCTGTATGTCTTGAGAATCAAAATTCCCTCAGTCATCAGCAGAGAGCTTTGGGGTATTCTTTTCCCAGCACTACTGAGTCATCTGTCTATTTGTTATACAGTAGAGATGTATTTGACTTCCTAATTGGAGTTAGGCTTCATGAAGTTTAAACAGCTTGAAAGCTTCAGGCAGAAACTTTCCAGTGGTTATGTTTTTTTCAGTTCAAGGCTCTGCGGAGGTTGAAGTGAGTTAGTTGCCAGACATGTGTGGCTCCTGTTGAAATTAGCGTTGCCTTTATTCAAAGCCGTTTCAATGCCTGAAGTTAATATTTCACCTCATGTTTCCAATAATCTCTACTTTTCTGATTATGCAAGTGCATTAGAGACCAGCCATAAGAACGTCAGACTTGCTTTACTCTGACTCTAGTCACTGACTGAACAAAACCTGGCGTGTACTGGACATCATGTAAGCTCTTTGTCCACCAGCTTGCTTTCTCCAAATGGATTTAACACTGCAGTTCTGCATTAGGAAAACCAAGATGCCTGTGAAAGGTTGCTTAGTTGAAATCAAGAGACATTATTAACAAGCTTTCCCCATCCCTTGCAGTGGTCTGTTGGGATTCTTTCTGATGTTGCACACAGTGAAGCTAAAAAGCAGCACAACCTCAGGGCAATATGCAGCATGGAGTTTCCTTGCAAAGGTAAGAGAAAGACTGTCACAGGAACACAGTGGATCTGTGCTTCTCCTAGGAGAGCTGAGGAATTTCTGCATCTCTGTTGCTATTCCTGTTTGACACTTCCAGTGTCTGTCTGTGCAACCTACAAGTAGACTTGAGGTAACAAACATAATAAGCCAAGATTGTTAGCCGAGTTGAACTACTGTGCATAGACTGAGGTTTAATGGAACTGGGCTGCTTACTGCAGCTAAGGTTCTGGCCTACTGAATTGCAATAATACAAATCTATACTTTCCTACTTTCCAAAGGTGTTTTGGAGAATACTCCTTCTGAGAGTGTGTGCACCAGCCATTGCTTCCAGCGTGTCTTCCCAGAGCCAAGAATTAAAACTACTTCCCAGAAGTTCAGTACCAGAACTCTCATTGTTACCATTGCAGAGGAGAGTGGTGGATGTCATTTGCCTTGACATTTACAAGGCTTTTGACAGCATCTCTCACAATGATCTTGTATCCAAATTAGACTGTTATAAACAATTAGATGGGTAAAAAATGTGGTTGGATGATCAGGCTCAGAAGGTGGAGGTTAATGATTCCTACTCTAATTGGAGGCTTGTGACAATTAGAGTAGCACAGGGATCTGTCCTTCAACCTGTCTTGTTTAACGTCTTCATTGAAGAATCAGAGGTGATAGTGTACTCACATTTGGAAGGGACACCAAACTGGGAGGACCAATCAATAGTGCTGAAGGAGAGGGCTGCCTTTTAGAGGGACCTGGACAGGCTGGGGGAATGGACCAACAGAAACCTTACCAAAATCAAAATGGACAGATGTGAAGCCCTGTACATGGGAAGGAAGAGCAATAATACAGGCCAAGAAGAGCGCCTGGCGATAATACAGGCTGGGGATTGGATGACTGAGAAACAGTTCTGCAGAAAAGATTGGGGATTTTGGTAGACAGCAAGCCAAACATGAGCCAGCAGTGTGCCCTGGCAGCTAAGAAGGCCAAAAGTATCCTGGGTTGTACTAAGTTTGCTTTAGTTGTACTGCATAGGCAGTACATAGGCAGTAAATTCATGGAAGTAATCATGCCCCTCTACTCAGCACTTGTTAGACCACATCTGGAGTAGGGAGCCTCGTTTTAGGCACCTCAGTACAGGGAAGAGATGAATAAACTGAAGCAAATTCATCAGAGGGCTGCCAAGAAAGGCAGAGGGCTGCCAAGAAAGTCAGGGGGCTGAAGCATTTGCCTTATGAGGAGTGGCTGCCAGACCAGGCTTGTTCGGTCTGGAAGAGAGACAGTTTTGGGAGCACCTAACAAAACAACAGCCACCCAGTAGCTATGGAGAAATTACCAAGAAGACAGATCCAGGCTATTCACAGTGCCGTGTGGGAGGGGGTGTGTAAGATAACAAGCATAAGCTGTAATGAGAGGTTCAAACTGGGCGTAAGGAAAAGCTTCTTCACCCTGTTGACAAGTCAGGGAGGGCAGAGGTTGCCCAGGGAGGCTTCTGTCTTCAAAGGTTTTCAAGACCCAACTGGAGAAAGCCCTCAGCCAACCAGGAATTATACTGTGATCTGTGGATTTGGGGTCTGGCTGTACTTAGGTTTCAGTTATTAACAGGTGATTTGTTAAATTACCAGTGGTAAAGGCAGTCTGAAGAGCTTGTCAGACTCCTTTTTCCTGGTTACAGTTACTCCTTTTCTCTGGTTAAATTTTACCTAGTTTCACCACTCTCAGCTAGGTCATCTGAAAGCCACAACCTTCCTATGTAGTTCGTGATCATAGCTTTTTTATTGCAGTGAAGCTCTTACCCTACCAGGAAAAAAAAGAAAGTAGGATTGCATAATAATATGCTTGTTTAGAAACTGGAATGAAATGAATGTTTGGTTTTCCTGGGGATAACAAGAAGAGAATGATGGGGCTTGTTTTGTACTTTGCAAGCTGTTCCACACTATACAAGTCCCATAGATTTTCTCACTAGTTTGAATTTCTTCCAAGCATTCTGACTGTGCAGATTTTAGTTCCATAGCTTTCTTCTTGGTAGCAAGTCAACTGATCTAGAGCTTGCTTTTGCATTTATTTTGTTTTTCCTTTTTAGCATTCTGGGTTGGAGATGGGAATAGCTGGCTCTGCTGGTAGATGTTGTGCATGAGGAGAAGTGGTTCTACATGTGGTATTCATGACCTGTCTGAAAAAAATGCCGGCAAAGATGTGTTGTGAAATATATTTTAAGCAGATTTGGTACTTCCCAGGTGAAGTGGATCAGAGCCACAAAGTCGGGACTGGATCAAAGCTTTCCCAAAGTTTCTAGATTTGAACGGTTTTGGCCAACTCTAGACATAAGTTAGACAAAGTTTGTTCTAGCCACTGCTGTCAATGAAATTATGTGCCTTTATAGCAACTAAAAATTTGTCCCTGTGCCACTGTGATAATTTAATCTGTTCTTCAGCCTTGAAAGCCTGTGTTTGTTAATGTGTGTGGTTAATTATCTTGCTTGAGAAGGTTTTTTTGAACAGGACAAATTAGGTCTTTTCCTGTTGTTGCTTCTAACCCAGTGTTCAAACTGTATGTCTTGTCTTGAGTTCGAAGAGGGGAATAAGTAATAAGGACATGGGATCCCTCTGGAGCACTTATAATTTTAGCAGAACAAGCAGTTTCCCTGATGTCTTTCACCAGTGTTTTAAAGCTTGCTATAAGAATGATTTTAGGGCTCAGTCACACCCATCTGAGGCAGCATGAGGAGCACAGAGGAACTGCTCCTCCGAGTGCTGAAATGCAGCTGATTTGGGGTTAGAAGTCAGCAAATTCTTGAAAAATTCTGAAACACTGTAGATCAGTTTTAGAAGAGGAATCAAAAGACTGCAGAGACAAATGCGGATAGGCAGAGAGCAGGAGCAGAACTGGAGCTTGCCTGCAAGGGTGTGGGGCTGATCTACCAGCTCCTGCAAAATTGTCACAAGCTATCTTGTAACTGTAGGGAGCTATAAATCTTTGTACAGACTAGTTAGAAGAGTCCTATCTATCTGATCAGTAATGCTGCTTTCTGCAGGTGTTCGGAAGTGTTAAAACTACATACTAATCCAGCTCAACGTTGCCAGGGTATGAGGGCTGTCTCAGTCACGTCTTAAATCAACATACGTGCAGAAAAGCAGTATTTAACTAGCACTTTAACAGTCTGTTTGAATCCAAGTCTGTGACTCCCTTTAAAAAAAAGGAAGGAAGTTAATGTGGATAAAGAATAAAGATAGAAAGTATTTGAATCCGGACTTGCAGAATGAGATCCAGTGGAAAAAAAAAACCTCTGGTCACAACAATGGCTTTGCGTTCCCACATGAGCATTTTTCTTGGATTGAGTAGTGCCCTAGATCATTCTCTTAATATCTCAGACTGACTGGAGTTTTCACCAGCAGTTGGAAAGGAGCAGCATTTGAGGCCAGAATATGTTTATCTTGCAAATGAGCCAAGAAGGCAGAATGCTGTAGTCCTCAGACAGCAGTGCAGGCCTCTGGGGAGGTGCAGAGAATTAGAAAATCTGTTTTCCATTTGCATGCTTTGTACCTATGTGACTGATGAGCTGGGGCTGAGATTGTTGCCACCACTTCATTCTTGTTAAGTGCCAATAGACCAATAAACTAAGCATGAGATCTGATCGGGCCTGCTTTGCAGATTGAAGAAGACATTCTTTCTGAAGCCCACATATTTGGCCTTCCTGCCCTCTAATTTTTCATTCACTTAAAAACTGGAGCTGGGTTGTAACTTGTTTTTATGGTACTTGGGCTGTGGCAACTTAATCAATGTATGAGGTATTTAATTCTTCCCTGTAATGATTTCTGACAGCTTTCATGTCAAAGCTTTGCTTTGTGCAGAGACAGACAAAACACAGGTTTCATCTGTGTATATAGTCCTGCATGATATTTATAGTGACAAATGCTCTCTGCACTTTTGCTGTGAAAGCAGATATTGTGTGTGGTAGTCATAACTGTATAGATTCATGAGAATTGCCAGAAAATCACTAAAGTGATCTCTAAAACAACAACAAAAAGTGCTTTTAAGAAGCCCAAGAAATATGGAATACTTTGTCATAGCACATATTTAATCCCCAGAAGAGCAAGAATTTGAAGCTGTGCTGAGATTTCTTGTTTTAATTTGAAAGCTATGCTAGTATCATGGGTCATGTACTAGAAAGAAAAACTGGAGATGCTCATATATACGGATAGAAGCATCTGGTGAGAATGCTAATGAGTTCTAACAGTGCTGTCAGGGAATTTGTTTAGATTAAGGCTGCCAATCTGTATCTGGTGATGAAACTTGTTAGGGTCTCTGGAAGTTAAACAGCAGAAATAATTTAAGTCATGAATAGAAGGGAAAAAAAGGGTATTTCATAATTTTTCTTCAGCAACATACTAGTTACTTATGGATTAATATTCCTGTATCATGTTTAGTTTATCCCAATAAACTTTGTAGTAGGGAATTCATCTTGTTTTCAATACGAACCTATTGAGGTAGCTTGTTATGAAAAGAAAGAATAACTAAGAAGGTCAGCGGATACTGTATTCTCTCCTTCGTCCTCTCTTATCTGAAGAAATGAAGTTGGATAATTGAAACCAAGTTTCATTGAGTTTTACACGGTTTTTCTTATGGCTGGGAGAAAATTCAGGTTAATGTGATCAGGAACATGCAACTCTTATATATGACCATCCCTTGTACTTTTATGTAACCTGCAGTGTATCCGAACAGTGTTGAAGGCTCCCTGATACATAAAAGCATCTCCTGACAGCTGCTTTGTTCCTTTGTTTGTTAACTTTAGAAGAGTTTGCCCCAGGTCACCCTATATTTAATAATGGCTGCCAGATACTGTGAAAGTAATTTTGCACAAGCATGTGAAAGAGTATCTTATCCACGGGTCCCATGTACCCAACTGTAGCCACCTGCACTTACACCCCAGCAGTTTTAGTCTTCTCCCAAAATATATAATGGCTATTCAGAATGCCTCCAGTAGTCTTTGATTTTATATTTTGTGTCTGT